GGTTTAACAAATGAAAATCTGAGACTACTAGTTAATTGTGGATGCCAGAAAAACAATATTTAGAACAAGTAGATACTAAACTAAGGAAAGCGCATGCTTATGCTAATAAACACTACTACTGTTTCTCCAAAATGCAAATTACCTAGACACCCTGTATTTTTAGCTGGTGACCTTGAAAGGTTTGCAAGAAGCAAGGCAAGGGCTCACAGGAAGAACCATTGCCTGTCTTGGGCTGGAGCTTCTCCTGTAGATTTAAATTTTTAAAACGCATTTTTCTTTTCCCCTTTTCCCCATCCCTCCCTCTCCTTCCTGCTAGCTTTCCACTGTGATTTTAAGCATCCATAAGCTTTGCCACTTTGAGCTCTGTGTGTGTGTGGTGTGCACCCAAGGCCTGGCCATCCTTCTGGGACAGATCCCGTAGCCCACAGCATTCACAGGGTCTGCATTCACCACTGCCCCTCTCCGGATGCGCTGGAACTTCCTGAATTAAATTGAAAACCAGGCCCACCCAATGCCAAAACCTTTCCCTGCCCCACTTCGTGGTCCAGTGTCTCCGTGAACCTGATTGAGAATTCCAGGCATTCATGCATCACATTTGTTCTAACCTGAGTGCTTTCACTCCCAAAATTGAAGATTAAATCTGAGAACAGAAGGAGAAGTTTAGGAGACTGTTTTTTTGGAAATGATACCAAAAGAGCACAAAGCCCTCGCCTTGGCCTCACAGAGACAGGGAGAACCGGGTTCCTGTCCAGGAAGTGCGTGGAAACTCTGGTGACCGCTTGTGTCCATGCCCCCGGTGTCTGGGTGATGTCCAGGTACAGGAGTGCAGCGCTGTCCAGGACGCAGCGCACCTCCTTTCAACAGGAGAAGCTCAGTCCTTGTTTTCACCGTGGCTTCTCTGGAGTCAGCCGGGAGCGCGGATGCTCAGCGGCCCTGAGGTCTGGCTGCTCCGTGCTCTCCCGGGACAGAACTGCACCTGGTGTTGGCAGCCAGGTTCTGCGTGGCGTCTCTGCCCCAGGCCTCCACATTCCTCATTTATTTATTTGGTGCTGGAATCAGATCCAGGACCTCCTTGTACGCTAACCCTGAGCGAGAGTTCTGGGAAGGAAGTGCTTTTCCCCACAGGGTGGGCTGAAAGCCTCAGACAGCGGGAGAGGAGCTGGACTGGAGGGAAGGAGCAGTGTCTGAGCACGGCGGGAGAGCGGCATTGGGAGTCGCTAGGATGGAAGGCAGGCAGGCAGGCAGTGGACTTCTGGGGCATGAGGCTGCGGGGCCAGGTAGGAGCAAGGGCTAGGTCTCTGGAATGGGGTGTGGGGTGTAAACAAGGGGCAGGGCCGAGGTCCAGGAAGGTGGACCACGAGGGCGCTGGGGTCCCTCTGACCTGCCGTCGCCCCGCCCTGAGACCACTGGGGCTCCAGGTCCAGGCTGCAGCACCAGCGTTCCCGGGAGATCTTCATTTCTGATTTAAAAATGATCCTCAAGTCAGGTGGGGTGGTGCCCACCTGTGACCCTGACACTTTGGAGGCTGAGGCAGGAGGGTCACAAGTTGCAGCCCACTTTGGGCAACTAAGAGACCTAAGGAGACCCTGTCTCAAAATAAAATGTAAAAAGAGGGCTGAAGATGGAGGTCAGTGGGGGAAGGGGGAACTGTGAACATGGAAAGCATTAAAAGTGAGGCTGAGCCAGCAGAAGGTGTAACAGGCCTAGAATGACTGCAGGCAGCAGTGATGGAGCCAGGACTTCCAGTAACAAAACTCCCCAAGGTGGGCTGCTGTGGATGAAAAGTCCAGCTTCTATTTTCAACTGCACCCCCGGGGGCTTTTTAGGGTACTGACTGTGCCCTCCAAGGGCATTGTCAATCCTTTTCTAAGAGGCTGAGGCCTCTTGTAAGGGGACTGTTCTCTGTGCTGGGCTTTCTCACTGTCAAAGTGCAGTGAGATGACAGAGCCAGGTCCAGGTCCAGAAAGTGCTGGAGACCTGGCCGGCTTGGTGCAGGGCCCCAGCACTTCCCCTTAGACAAAAACTACCCTACACTGGGGCCCAGACAGTGCCTCACACATAGGACTGAAGCTTTTGACTTCTTAAGATTTGCATTTTAGTGCATTAAAACAAAAAACACTGATAAGTCACCAACGTTCTGAATTCACAGGGTACAACTAAAGTGTGGCTTGATCCCAAGTAACATTTTGATGGTTAAAAATGTATTACTTCTTTGATCCACTTTCATTTCCTCATCAAAAACTGGGGAAAGCGAAATTCACTAAGAATGAAATAATTCTTAAGAAGGAGTGGAATGGCTTTAAGGCATGTAGATAACTGAAGTCATTATTAGCACTAATGAGCATTGTTAATACTGGTAATGATGTTGTAGCATATGAAAATATGCTGAAAGATGGCTCAAATGATTATCTTCGTGATAATTGTTTAAGACTACCAGATATCAGGAGAGGGGATGATAATGTGAGACCATTATGATTAATTTGGTCCTTAGGTCAGAATCCAGTCACTTAGTGCTTTTAACTCACATAAACTTTTTTTTTTTTTTTTTTTGGTACCAGAAATCCAACTCAGGACCTTGTACTTGCCAGGCAAGCGCTGTGCTTCTGAGCTAGATAGTCATCCTTCTCACATGTTTTTAAAAGTAAAAAGAAACTGATGAAATCAGTAATATATTTTATTTTACCCAGCAGGTTTAAATGTGGTCACTGCAGCATGGAATCCATATAAACCAATTTTCTATTATTTTTAGGGTTCCGTTGTATCTGAGGCTATGTCCTTGCCTTGCAGTGTCTTTTGCATCTTTGTTGTGGTCTGGTCTCCACTTAACAGCTAAGCAGTTGCTGTCTACAGACCGCAGGAGGAAGCCTCAAGGTGGCTGTCTTCATACCCGCAGGTCCTTGTTGAGGAGGCTGGAGCCGGGATTTCTTTCACACACCCAGATGTGTAACTCAGGAGGTTTCATCCCAGCACAAGCACAGAATGAACTTTCTCTAGGTTCCTTTCTCTGATTGGAGAAGCAAACAACTGAACTGTCAGGAGACATGGATGCATTAGAATTACAGGGCACGGGGTTCCTGAAAGGCTATGGTGGTCTTGGAGGAGGCCCTGGCCTGTCTCAGGCTGGGGTATCCCTTGCCCCCTAGTGTTGCTGGATAAGAAGGCAATGGGGAGTGGGGGAGTAATTCCAGGCCCTGCGGGGTCACAGTGGGCTCAGTCTGGGTACTTGGCCCTGGCTTTCCTGGAATAGTGGTGTGGAGGGGAGCTGGATGCTGGAGAAGTGGGAGAGCAGACCAATCATCTCAGAGAAGCACCATCCTCAGAGAGTGTGGGAGCCATGGAGGGGAAAGGGAAGAGCTCAGGAAACTTTGGGGGCTCCAGAGGAGGCTGCAGCTTGGGAAAGATTTTGACATGTTGCCTGTGCATTTTGTCCTTGAAACTGAAGACTTCTTCGAGAGCAAAGGTAGGACTGGGTATGTAGCTCAGTGGCACAGTTCCTGCCTGGCAAGCACAATTTTCTGAGTTTGATTCCAAGTACGAGAGAGAGAGAGAGAGAGAGAGAGAGAGAGAGAGAGAGAGACAGACAGAGACAGAGACAGAGAGACACAGAGAGACAGAGAGACAGAGAAAGAGAGACAGAGAGAGAGAGACAGAGACAGAGACAGAGAGAGAGAGAGAGAGAGAGAGAGAGGCAGAACGGGAGATGGAAATAACAGAGGTTACAAAAGGGCAAGCCCATACACACCTTGCAGTTCCCTCCTTGTGTTTCATCCAGGTCCTCCACCCCTGCACCCTCCTTCTTTGGCCTTCTTTTCATCAGCCCGGACTTTGTGGTACGGAGGGTCTGTGGCTGCTGCCCACTGTCACATGAATGCCTCCTCCAAGGTCCTGACGTTCTGGCCCCACCCACAGCACCATGAGCAGGGAGGACTCCCCACCCCTTGGCTGGCCAGACTTACGCCATCCCTCTCTTCCAGCCAGAGCTGTGGTCTGAAGGAGCCACCAGCAGGTGGCCGATGCCCTGCAGTACCTGAAGGAGGTCTCAGGAGACATCTTCAGCAGGTGGGTCTGCCCTCCCTGGTGGAGGGAGGGCCACCCTGACCTGAGCCATCCTCTCGAGCCCAGCCCCTTTAATGACTTCTGGACCTAGGGGCCCAGTTGGCTCCTTTGTGGGAGGGGCTCCGGGTCTGGAAGCTTCCCTCACAAATGCCCAAGAGGTCATTCCCAACTGTCCCTAGTAGTCCAGAGCTATTGCTGCAGTTCCGTCTTCAGCCAGCAGAGGGCAACCCGGGCGGCTCCCAGAGGAGCCATGCAGGGTCCTGAGTTGGCCTGTGTGTGTGTGTGTGTGGGGGGGTACGACAGCATAGTCCCCTGCTGGAGGGTGGAAGGTGCGAGGAGCAGGTCCCCCCCAGACCCGCACCCCACTCTCGCCAAGTCAGGTCAGGCTCTGGCAGTGGGTGCAGCCTGGCTCTCCGCAGTTTCCTCCTCTGATAGAGCCCAGGTTCTCGCGCACCCCACGCGAGCCTGTGGGGCAGGTGGGATGCTCCGCTGCACCCACATGCGATCACGGTGGGCCCCGAGAAGCTCAGCCCTGTGAAATGAGGACCCTTCATGCAGGATGGTCACAGTGCCTCCCTGGGACAGCGACCAGGAGCTCAGAGGCAGAAGGAGCTAGGCCAAGAGCTCGCAAAGGGGTGCCTGCTGCCTCTGCAGGAGGCAGGGCTGGGGTGGCCTGGTGCAGTCCGGCTGTGACCTTTGCATAGCCGGATCTCCTCGTCTGTGGATCTGAGCTATAGGAAGCTATAGGTACTCAGGGAGGGGATCTCCGTGAGCCAGGCCAAGATCTAGAAGCTCAAGGGCAGCAAGAAGGCCATCAAGGTAGGGAGCCCATGCCCATCAGCCCCACGTCCCCGTCCCGTTGTGCCCCGCAGTTCCCCAACCCTAGATTCGTGTCCACAGGTGTTCTCCAGCTCCAAGTTCCTGGCCCCCCAGCGCTGTAGGACTACAGCTTCTTCTCCAGTGCACAGGACCCAGTGCTCCAGCCACCGCCGTGCTGCTGCATCCAGAACAAGCACAGGCTGCTGGATGAGCGGGCCCTGCCACAGCCAGGAGGGCACAGGGTCCACATGGGCTGCTGACCTCCAAGGTTCCAGCTAGGACTGAGCAGGGTTCACGGAGCCAGGAGCTGAGCCCCCTGCATTCCTGTCACCCTAAGGAGAAGCTGAAGTTCTTCCCTGTGTGTGAGCACCAAGCAAGTGCCAGAGGATGAGGCCAAGGAGGGGTTTGGAGGGCTCCCCAGCAACATCAGCTCCGTCAGCTCCCAGCTGCTGTTCAACACCTTGAAGAACTTGTAGGGCCCTGGGGGTGCTGAGGGGGCTCAGGGGAGCAGGGCACTAGGTTTGGTGCAAGGCAGATATGAGAGCTATTGAGTCCTGGGCACTCAAGAGCACGCTGCATCCCAAAGCATGAGGGATGGTCAGGCAACTGAGCCTGACTGAACCCCAATCACCCTGCAGATATAAGAAGTAACTCTACCTGGACCCGCTGGTGGGGTGGTCCCAAAGATCCACGTAATGCTGGAGAAGGAGGAGAAGCTATCACCAAGAGAAAGTAGCTGGAGCAGCAGGTGGGGAGTGCTGGAGGCTGGGGCCCTGGGAGCCTCAGCCATCCTGGGGTGTAGAGGGCTCTGTGGGCCCCAGGGTGACCCTGCAGACCTTGTCCCTGTGGGGCAGCTGTGGCTCACACATTGCCCCGCAGGTCCCTGAGAACTACTTCTAAGTGCCAGACCTGGGCCAGGTACCTGAGACTGACATGCTGTCCTACCTGTTTGACCTGCTGGACATTGCTGATGACCTCATGTACAGCACCAACCTGGGCCCGGGCATTGCCCTTTCTGTCCCTGGTGTCATCCTGGAGCTTCCTGCCTTCCAGACAGAGGTGGATGCAACTTTGAAGCCTGTGGAGCTGGTTGCTGGGCATCAGACTACATTGAGAGCTCCCTGATTCAGATCTACTTCCTTCATACTCAGCCTCACACCTGTGTTCCAGACCGCCACCACCACAGTCTCCCCTAGATCCTGCAGAGGTAGCCAGCGCACCCCCAGGCCTGCCCCCACAAATTGCATCCATGACCACCACAGACCCTGAAGGACATAGCAGCAGTGCCCCTGCTTCAGGTAGGGGGGCAGCTGGGGCTCTGTTCCCTGAGCACAAGGTATCTGCAGGGGAAGCAGCTGCAGGTCTGAGGTCCACAGAACAATTTCCTCCTCACATGTTCTAGCCTATTGGGCCCTCCCTGCTCTCAGGACTGCAGAGCTCTGGGACTTTGATCCCAAGGGAGTAGTGGGGGACCCTGGAGGCCTGGAGAGTTGGGGTTGTGGCCCCAGTCCCAGCTGAACCAGTGGAAATGAGGGTGACTACAAAGGGAGACTTAAAAGCTTGGGTTTTAATATTGTACCTCCCAGCCTCCATGCGGCCTCCAGAAGGGGCAAAGAAGTCTCCATGGCCCATGGGTCCCTGGAGGTTGTATGAGTGCATCAGTAATTACCAGGTCCAGTGCTGCATGGCAGCACCCAATCAGAGTGGGAAATGGGGGGATGCAGGTATCTGACACCACGCACTGGCCTGGAAAGCCATGCTCTGCTCCTCCCAATTCCACCCTTCCAGCACCTGTCCAGGGGGTTCCCAAGGAGGGGGGGACCCCTTAAGTGTCTGGGCCACCTTGCTGGAGTCTATCTGCCAAGCTAGGGGCAAGGCCAAGCTGTGCAGTGCCAAGGAGCACAAGTTGGAAATGAAGAAGCAGGAACAGGAACATGGTGAGACCCCCCTCTCCTGCTGCCACCAGGATCCAAGCAAAGGCTCGTCAGAGCTCCAGGGCTGCACCCCTGCAGGTGGGGTGCTCCTGGAGGTCTGGTTGGCTTCCCTGACACCCAAATCCTGGGCTCCTGCTAGGGGTTATGTGCCCAGATCAGCCAGCTCAGGCTGCACCACAGTGGGTTCCTGGGGGCTTCCGGGGGGTCTCATTGTTCTTAGGGAACTCAGGTGAGTGCAGGCCTCGGTCTCTAGTGGCTTACAGGGGGTCTGCCCCACACCTCTTCACTGAGCTTCCCCTGCAGTGAGAGCCATGGGCCAGGGCGGGACCTGATGTTCCATCTCTTTAACAAGCTGGTTCTGAGGCGCAAAGGAAGGCAGGCACCTGGGGTGCTCTGCCTGTTCCTATGTCCAGGAGCAGGGTGCACCTGGGCCTTGGCCTGGCCTCTCTCCCTCACCAGTCCTTCCATCCTAGGCATCTCTGGGAAAGGACCTGAGCCAGGCTATCGAGGGCCCAGAAGGAGCCTTTGTCTGTATGTTGGACTCCATCCCATCATTGCCGCCCCCACAGCAGCCCCCAAGAGAGGAGGATGAGGACAACTGGGAGTCTTAGTGGCTCGGGCCCCTTGCCCTCCTGCAATGGGACTTCACCAGTTCTTGCAGGCATTTCAGTGTTGTGCAGGGCACTGTGGGTTCCCCATGGTACAGTGCTGTCTTCTCTAAGAAGAAATGTACCAAGAACCAATAAAGCAGAGCAGGAGAAGCTGCACAAGCCAGGAGTGCACGATGTATAGGCAGGACACCGAGGTCTCCTGGAGCCCAGGCCGTCCTCCTTCCTGTGGGTTCCCGTGGTGGGGTTGGAGGCTCAGGACCAAGAGCCTTTTCTCTGGATTGGATTCCTAGAGGAAGGGAGCCAGAAGCCGAAACAGCTGTGGGGAGGGGAGGATACCTTTCCATGGAGTGTCTTGGGGATCAGCACAGGGTCTCTGTGCATCTTAGTCAGGGGGAAGGCAGGGGCAGGATGGACCTCAACATAGGAAGGTAGGTGCTGAGGGGATTTGGGACTGCTCTCAAAAGTAGGCAGAGTGTGAGCTGTGAATGCCAGGCCCCTAGTGTGAGCTGCCCTTGGCTGGACCCTAGTGTGGCAGGACCCACTGTTCCATCCACTCCTGCTGGCTTCACTGTACAACCTTGGATTCTGGCAGCTGCTGGCTCAGGGTGGGGTGGTGTCTTAGTCACTTTTTACTTGTCGCTGAGACAAAATAACTGAAGCCCAAAGTTGGGAAAGGAAAGGTTTATTTCTTACAGTTTTTGGAGGTTTCAGTCCACACTCAGTTGTCTCCAAGACAGGCAGGCATGGCTGGGCTGTAGTTCATGGCGGCCGCCAGCAGCAAACTCGAACCAGCAAAAAGAGAAACACACCTTCTTCCTGCCATTACATCACATCCTGGCTCCACCCCTATGTGGCTCCACCATCAATCCAAGCACTATACAATGAACCATCACATATGAACAATGCAAACTCATGAGGCCTGGGGGACACAAACATAAACCATGACAGGTGGGGACCCCAAGGTCATCAGGAGGGCCCTGATTTCTCCCGTGAAAGTGTGGGCACAGAGAAAGGCTGTGAGGAACCACCTCTCGGGCTGGGGTCTGGGAAGAAGAGGGCTGGCCTAACCTTCTGCAATGATGCAAACCCAGTACCAAAGGGGGATTTGACCTCCATGGGGTCTTGGATCCAGGCCAGCAGCTTTGACAGCATTGGTGGCCAGGTATAGCAGTGGTCCAGAAGCAGGATGCTGGAGAAGTCCTTCTGGTGCCTGATGATCCTGCCTGGGGCCATAGAGCTGGGGCTCCAAGTGCCCTCCCTACAATACAAGTCCTGAGTCCCCTCCCCTTTTCAGTCCTTAGATGGGAGAGCAGGAAGGAAAGGTCTCTCATCCTGTTACCCCTCCCTGCCACCCATCCAGTCCCAGCTGTTCGTCCCAGGGCCAGGGTAGCTGCATCTCACTGATGGACTGGTTAACAGCCTTCATGTACAGATTTGCCTTCCCTTGGGGCACCTGCCCTGGGCTCCTGGGCTGCAAAGGTAGAGGAGACACAAATGGAAATGTCTATCACCTCTTGCCTGATTACCCTCCTATTCCTAGGGAAAGACCTGGGCCTGAAAAGCTCCAGCCAGCAGAAGGTGTGACAGGAAGACCTTGTGGAGACACCGAGAGGGCAAGAGTGCATCCTTGTACTGCTGATATGGTACATCAGCATCCACACAGAGGTCTCAGTGTGGAGCTTTGTGTCCCAGCCTGAGGCGTCACCCCACTCTCCATCCCCAGGCCCCCAAGCCTCTGGAACCCAGCAGGACTCATGAGGTGCTGATCTGAGTAGGTCCCCAACTTCTGCTGCAGCTCAGGAGACTGGATGTTGGGGTAGGGCATGCCCGTCATTACCAGGCACCTGGGGGACATGGAGGTGATGCCTGTAGCTCCGCCTATGCTCTGTCCACCAGATCCAGCCTGGGACAATGAATGGAGTCTCTAGGGCCTCAGCCTGGCTTCCTGCTCCACAGTCAGCCTGCCCCTCCCTGACACCCTCTCAACACCCTGAGCACCTCGCCTGCATACAGACCCTGAGTATGAGACCGAGAAAGGTGCCGAGACCCAGCGGAGAAGAGGGGTGCACCTACCGGCCCAGGACATCAGAGAAGTTGATCCCTTCACTCATCTTCCCTCCCACCACACACTTGGCTTCTTGCCTGTACACAGCTCTGAGGAAAGACTCCATCTAGAATGCTGGGCTGGCGCCAGGAAGATGCCAGGCCCATATGGCTCCATGCCTGGCCTGTGCCCCTCAGCTTAGTTTACCTGGAATATGTAGCCAGCTCCACATGGCTGGTTCTCCTGGGGTCCTAGAAGAGCTGCAGGGAGAGACAGTCTCCCAGGAAAAAGGCAGCACAGGCACTCACATCAGTTCAAGGCCTTGAGTTATACTCTGGGGGCAGGCCACACTCACAGTGCCCAGCTTTGGGGGTCCCTCTGGCCAGATGCAGAGACCCTAGAAGGAAGGAGTGCAGGTGAGGGACTGGGAGGAGTAGCACCATCCAGGTTCAGGGATCCCTGGGATCTGCCACCCCAGAGAGACCTGGGTAAGGAGTTACTCACCTTTTTCCTGACAGCAAGCTGGGCCAGCTGGCTGCTGCTGTCCCAGTGGGCAAGGACCTGGCGCTGGTACTCATAGGAAGAGAAGAAACCCCAGGGGTTCCTGGTACCAAAAATAAAATAATGAAAGGGCACAGAATGTGGGCAAATGCACTAGGCTGTGAGGTTTGACTGCTGGACTCAGCAGAAGGAACGAGAATCTCACAGATCAATGACTGAGACACAGCTGACACCCTTGGGAGATTTTGGGGTCCCTGCCGGCAGCCAAGGAAAAGACAGGGTCTGGGGCAGGGCCTGCTACCTCTTAGCATGGCCACAAACTGCTCCAGCAAATACTGGACCTGCTTGATGTATATCAGTTTCTTGCCCTTTGGACGCTTCCTGAGGAGAAACCCACAGGCCTGGAGTGGGGGCTCCCCTACAGATCCCTGCTACCTAGCTGGGTCACAAAATATCAACACCCCAGGAAGAAGGCAGGTTGGCCCCCAGGAGCCAGAAGTCCTGTCTCAAGCAGGCTGGGCCCTTGGGGTACCTGGTGTGGACACAGGACCAGGAAGGGAGGTTGGCTGTGCATACCCTCTGCAGGCCGACTGGACCAGGACCATCCCTCCTGCCACAGGCCTGTGTCCCACCTGGACCACTCCATGTCCTGCAGCAACTGGGAGTGGGACTGGCAGAAATGGGGACAGAGCACCGAGCCAGGCTGAGGTCAGACCAGGCTCTGGACAAGCGGTAGAGGGCTGGGTCAGGGTGAACTGACACTGTGCCCAGAAAACACCAGCTTGGGACTCACAGGAACCATCATGAGCATGGGGAATGAGGACCAGGAATCCACGAAGCATGAGTCTGTGGCCCTGGGGCTGAGGAAGCTGAGGGCACAGAAAGCTCTGCTCTGCGTGCAGCTGCTTCCAGACTGGGCAAAGTGAGAGGCTAAAACTCTCAGGTAAGTAAGCTCCCTGCTGTTTTCACTGGATGGGGAAAGTCGTGGGGTTTCCCATGGGAGCCATTACACCTGGACATAAGGATCCCAGACCCTGATCAGCTGGTATGAAGCCAGTGCTCCCCTCCCCACTGCCATCCCTGTGCTATAACCGTGGGCCCTGGCCTCACCATCTGAGTCCCCAGGCTCCCAGTGTCAGCCAGGACTCTGGCCCACTGAGGGTCAGTGTGGAGGGCAGAGACAGCTGGTGCAGCACACAGGACGTGACAGATTATAGAGAGGAACTCCTGGGGCCCCCAATTATGCTCCAATTAAATCCCACTGAGTAACATGGAAAATAACAAGATCCAGCGACCCAAGACTCCTGTTGTTCTCTGGCTCCTCTCCTCACCTGGACAATGGCTGCTGTCCAAATCTACCAAGCACTGTCCCCAGAAGAACTGAGGTCTGGGGCCTCAGAGAAGGGTCCATGGCCCACAGCCCCATGCAGTGCAACCTGGGACCAGCTGATCTCTGTGCCATGGATGCCTATGATGGAGTCAATCAGGTTGCGCGCCTCGTCGATGATGATGACCTGGCCCTGCAGCCACATGCCTGCAGCCTGCCTCATGGCTGCATGCAACAGCACTGGGTAGGGCAGCACCACCAGCTAGAGGGCAGGGCAGGCTGCTGTGATGGTGGCCAGGTCGGTCCTATGGGAAACCTGCCTGCCTGCCTTGGTCCTGATGGGAGCTGTGTTGTTTTCTGGCCAGATAGTCCATGTGTAGGGAAATTCGGGAGAGAATGTAACTGTGTAGACCTGTGGCTGCAGCCTCAGCCCATCGCAGAAGTACAGACACAGCAGGCTTGCAGTTGACCAACTCAGAAGGGGACCGAGGATGAGAAGGAACTGGGGAAAGCCTTCCTGTTGACCTCCCTAAGCCTCCAGGCTGCTCTGAGGCACAGAAATCAACAATGACCTCCAGTGCTGGGGCTGCTGCCTCCCAGCTGTGCGACTCTGTGACAGCTGTCTAACCTTGGAGCGTCGGTTTCCTCATCTGCCATGGGGCTCAATAAACTCTGCCTCAGCTGAGGGCAGAGGACTGGAGGGCAATAACCAAAACTAAAGTACTTTGTCAATTTTAGGTGCATTTTGTTGTAAGGATTTTCCAAGGCAGGGGTGACAGTGCATGTGTCCTCCTAGGACCCTGGGAGGCTGAGACAGGAGGATGTCAATTTCTGGCTCAGCTTGTGTATCTTCACAATGTGATGAGATTCTGTCTCAAAATTTTAAAAAATACAAACAAGGAACAGAGGTGGGAATAATGCAGCTCAGTACAAAGACTCTGAGTTTAATCCCGAGTGATGAACAATGAAAACAGTGATGAGCAATGAGAAATACTCAGAACCTGGGAAGCATAAGGTCCTGGTTCAGATGTAAGCACCATAGCTCATGCTCTGTGACCACACAGCGCAGTCACTGAATGTCACATGCAGCATGCGGTCACCTTGGTAGGATACCATGAGAGCAAAGCTGACTGAGAACTTCAGGACCCTGATCACCCAGCCTCCTCCAGTGCATCCATCAGTAGGTCCAGCACTCTTTACACTCACCTCATCCATGCAGTGCCAGGGTCAGGCAGGAGACTGCAGCAGTGTGGAGGCCCAGGAGCAAAGATAGGAAGGATCATGCATGTCTCAGTGACCAGGAGGTCAGGGATGTGGAGGAACCCTTGCTTTCCCCAGGTGGGCCTAAAGGATCCTCCAAATTCCACCTTGGCAGTGTTATCTGCTTACACATCAGATGTGTCATCTGAGGCTACTGGCTGTTCTCCCTAAATCGCCTGTAAATCCACTACCCAGCCAGGGACCAAGTTCCTTTCCTTCTTGGGAAAGAGCTGGGCCAGCTTTGCCATTATTTGCTTTCAGGGTCCCAGGTCTGGTCTTGGTCTCCCCTGGTCTAAGCCCAGGGCCCTCCTGGACTTTCTCTCTTCCCCCCACCCCAGTGTGGCCATGGCCTCACTGGTCCTAGCTCCTACCATGTGGGCTTCTCTGCATCTCTATGCTGCGATCACTGATCAGCTGCACAGCACCCAGGCTTCTCATGTCTTCCTTCACACAAAGGTACTAAAGCTGAGAAGACGAGGTGAAGAAATGGGTGGTGAGGGACATGGAGTTGCTTCTCCTCCTCCTTTCCAGGAGCAGCAGGCAGGGTGTGGGTTATGTCTGTGTCCACAGTTTAGCCGCCTCCACCCCACTCTCTCTCCAATCCTGGACCCTGGACCAAGAGACATGGGTGTGGGGAGGGGCAGCAGGGCACTGTGGCTGGGATGCCGCAGGCTCACCTGCCTGGAGTAAAGGGTCACCAGAGTGTGGTGTCCATGCCAAAGGAGCTTTTCCACATTTCCTGCACAAACTAGGCCAGCTGGGAATGTGTCCAGCTGCAGTAATAAATCTGCCCAGAGCAGATGAAGGGGAAGTCACAGAGGGACATAACAGCCCCAAGTGCTCTCAAAGCATCGATGCTTGGAGCCTGTGGGAACAAGTACAGTGACTGCAAATGTAGGATGTGGAGCCAGGCAGGGTGACTGGGATGTGACAGTGGTCATCAGCACCTGCTCCACAAGGGCTGCACGTGCTCCTCCTACATCCCCCGGGACACCAGCCTCAGTTACACCCACTTAGGCTAGCAGCATCACTGATGGAGGGGTGCTCACAGGCCTTATTGCCCCAGACCTCTATGGAGCTGGGGGCTGACACCTTGGAAGAACTGTGAACGCTGGTCTCCGGCTTTCTGAGGTATGTCAGTCCCTTCCCTGGCCTATGGAGCCCACAAAAGCTGCCACCTCATAGTCCCTCTCTCCTCTCTGCTAGCACATGGATGCCTGCCTACAGCAGTGCCATCTCTCTAGAGGCTGTGACAGACCCCATAGGTTTCCAAGCTCACTGATACTGGGGGCCCAGTAGTGACTGAGTCATGGGACAGGCGATGCACCTGGTGCTAGAGGAGTTATAGTGGGACAGGAGGTGCTTGGGGCTGGGGGGAAACTGCCCCTGCTCGTGGAGTTGTAGGAGGGGGCTAAGGCGAGGCCTGGCAGGGAACCCCAGGAGGAACAAGCCCACTCCTGGCCACAGGTAGAGACACAGGGGACATGGCAGCTACTGTCCCACCCACTGGCTGCCGTCCTCTTCTTGTTACTCCACCAGCACCAGCTCTTCCTCCCCAGGTCCCAAAGCTCCTGTGGCTCCATGCCTGGCCCATTGGGCAGCAGCTCCCTGCTGAGATGGAACAGCATCTCAGTCTCTTCCTCTTTCTACCTCTTCAGAGCAGCAAGGAAAGAAGGCTCAGACGCAGGGCCTGGGGTCCTGGTTGCCTCAGTCTTAATCTAGCTGTCACCAAGGACATCCGCCCATGGTCCATGGACACAGCCTTGCTGCTCTCCTGGGAGGAACACAGTCCTGGACTCCATTCTCTGTCAGTAGGCTCCCCAGCTCTGTGTGAGGACACGGCTAGTGGGGATGCAGCCTGACTGCCTGGCGGAGTCTCCACCAGTGTAGCAGGGGAAGGACAGGAGGGCACCCTCCAGCCACTGGGCTGCAAGCTTGAGCTGTGCACTGTGGCAGGTCTGCTACAGCCATTCCTCTCACTTCCTCTACCTGCTTTGCTCCTCCTGGGGTACACAGCCATGAGGAGACTCCTGTGGGACCCCTGCTAGCCTCCAGAGCTCCTGGGTAGCTACCCCTCTGGGGCCCTGGAGCTCAACAAGTCAGCCTTGGCCTGCTCAACTCCTCCCTCCACTGCCTTGGGCCAGCATAAAGGAGAACCACTACAGGGTGCACGGTGACTGGGGGAGAACAGAGGCCATTGCATCCCCATAGAATGCCGCCCAGCTGGTCTTCACTCACTTGGCCAGCTCCTTCTCCTTCCTCTGCACAAACTGCGTGACCCAGTTTGGCTCTCCTCTAGGACTTGGGGCAGTGGAGAATGCCTGGAAGGAAGATGGGGCTGCATGAGGCAGGTCCCAGCCCTCAGGCAAGGGCCTGGCTCCAGGACCAAGGAGGCATCTCATCTCTGCATCTCTTCCTGCTGTTTCTTCTTTTCGAAGTCGCAGAGCCATGTCAGAGCCCTGCAGACTTTCCCTGCAGGAACAGAGGGGCACTGCACTGAGCTTCTCTTCTCTTGGAGGCGGTGCTCCCCATGTGAACTCCCTCCTTTCTTCCAGGCAAGTGGTACCCAATGAGCTGCAAACTGGACCTTTTTATTTTTCTGCTTTTAATTTTGAAACAGGGTCTTGATATTTTGCTAGGCTGGACTTGCCCCTTTCACTCACCCAGCTCAGCCTTTCAAGTGGCTAAAATTTAGGGGACTTTCTCCATTTTCATAAAGGCTTCAAAATTAGAGGGCGCCCTGAGTCCACCAAGGAAAGGAAAAGAGCAGCCAATACAAGAGCCAGGACAAACACGAAAAAGGAAAGAAACAAACAAGGGATCCGGCAGCAGGAAAGAACTGCTTTAATCCTGATACTCACCACTCTGAAAGGAACTTATGGTGACTATGTGGTGTGCATACAAATTCTGCATGGTATCAACCAGTGACAAGAAACTAGACTAGCACCTCTGCTGAAAGAATTAAGGTACATGTCCCTGTAATATGACATCCTTAACTCTCTGGGGAAGACAGCGCGGGAATAGCTGGGTCAAACTGGGTTTCTACTTTTAAGTTTTGAGGGATCTCCACACTGACTTCCATAGTGGTTGTACCAGTTTATATTCCTACCACCAATGGAGAGGGATTCTTCTTCCCCCAAGCCTCACCAGGATTTGCTACTATTTGATTTCTTCATGACAGCCAATCTTTCTGAAAAAGACAGAATCTCAATATTGCTCTACTTGGCTCTAATGATCAGTGATGCTAATTTTTTTTAATGTATTTATTGGCCACTTTTACTTCTTCAGAGAAGTGTCTATTCACTTCAGTTATGAATGTGTACTTCACAGCATCACATTTATCATAGCTAAATTTTGGAAACAATCAATACGTCCATCCACAGATGATAAAGACATGATAAAGAGAATGTGGTATTTATACACAATGGAGTCCTACTCTGCCAAAAAGAATGACAAACTTGAGTCATCTGTATGAAAATGGATATACTTTGAGCTCATAAGGTTAAGTAAAATAAATCAGACACACAAGCTCAAATATCATATCATTTATTATGAAAAACCTAAAATATAAATAAAGAGCAAATTAAAAGACAGAAAACAGGAAATAGTGAGACAACTCTTTTGCAAATCGAAAGACCAAGAGATGGAGGGTGAGGAGGGGATGAAAAGGGAATTAAGATGTGCTGTGTCCTTGCACCAACTCCCTAAGGGAAGGGAATCATTATGTGCTGCAAATGTAAACCAATAAAAACTAAATTGGATAAAAAGGAATTCAGAGCAGAAAGTACAGAGAAAATCTTACAGAGTCACCAAAGGCCAGCTACTGTTAGCCTCAGCTTTAAAGCAACTAATGTGCAGATGCAACACCATGTGTCCTAGTGCTTAAGGTTTTGTTTTTCCCCCAAAGCCAATTAACTGCTCTGGAAATGTGATCAGAATGAAATCAGAATTTTCCCTGGTGCCCTCACTGCAGGATGAAATGAATTAATACCCCCAAAGCTGGGATGAGAAAATACTTGCCCTGTCTCAGAAAGTGACCTTGTTTGGGCACAGGATCACTGTAGATGTAATTAGCAAACCTGAGGCTAGGGAAAGCCCTAGTGCTTCCCAAGGACCCATGTGTTGGGGTGAGGGTTGGATGAAGCCACAGAGGGTGAAGACTACCCTTGGAGGGATGATCAGGGACCTGGACAGACCCTTTCACTGCAGCCCTAGGAAGAGCCAGCCCTGCTGCCACCTTGCTGTCACCCCACAGAAGCGTGAAACATCTGGTCCTGCTGTGTGAACACCTCAGGTGTGGGCGGGGTTCTGGGTGCCAAGGTCTCAGATAATGGACTCATTCTACAAGTTGCGCTCCAGACACACCTGGTTGGCTCAGGTCCTTGGCCTTTCTGCCCAGGAATGAAGATGCTGACATGTCAGAGTATAGGCACAGGTTCCGACCCTGCTCTGAGCTGAATGCACTGTGGGGAGACAG